GCAGTTGAAATGAATTTTAACATGTGTATTGATCTGTATTTCGAATAACTTTCTCTGTAAAATAAGAAATGAACTTTACGCTGACCAATGAATATGCTTTCACAGGAACGCCCTTCTACTTTTTTAATTGATGTAAATGGGGAAATTCTTTCCTGTTAGTGATTTGTATATAAAATATCATTATTTCGAAGTCATTAGCTGTGAGGCTATTATTTTTGCAGTAAAAAAATATTGCTAGCTTAAAATTCTACTAAAGTAGCAAAACTGACTTTGGATAACGAACTTAAGATAGAAAAAAAACTTGACCAGGTAGCCTAAATGTGTGACAATGTTCTCCAAGTTCAGACTAAATTCCCTGCTTAGTAATAGGATATCATAATAATAACTTTATTTAATATTTTATGTTTAGTACAATATAGAATTCTGAGCACGGAGTTTTTCAATGAGTTTCTTTTACAAAACAATTAGTGATTGGCTGTTTGGAAGCAAATCGGGGAATTTACATCTTATTAACCTTCCATAAGCAGATTGCCAACTCACGAAATGTCTCGGATTGCACTTTTTCGAATCCCCAGAAGCGATTAGCAGTACACCTTTTATATTCTCGCCTGAGTACATTATGCAATTATTAAACATGATTGTCGTTTTACAACATACGAAAAAAGGTAACTTGAAATATTTTGGAGTTCGGAAATAGGTTCTCCAGAAATTCAAGTGGGCCTCGAGTATGTATGGATGGATGTACCGCTTTGTCGACTTGTTTATTTAGTTTGGCTTTATGAAATTGTATCCTTTACCATCAGTCAACCGAGTACACAATCATATAAACACGTGGATAACTCTACTCTACAAATAATTTTAGTTTAGGGAAGACATCTATAGTTGTGGTGGTAGTGTTTGGTTCTCTGAGCTCAGAGAATCATCCACATGAGCTACAAATCTTCTCCACCATCTCAAAGACATCTGAAGTCTCACGGTTAAGACTGCTATAAACTATTGTTCCCTTTATGTTCACAAAATGAGACCTATATTAGAAATAACAGCAGACTAACGACTTAGTACTTTGGAATGGTCATCGCGAAATTTGTCTATGCAATTCAGAATATCCTATGCATTGAAACTAGTCTAAATCGATTTCTTGATGACTACTCACAAATGGAGATTTGAATGATTATTATTTCTCATTACATAGTGTTCAATTGATACAGTTTTGAAAATGAAAATTGTGAGTGATTTAACTTGAGTTATATTCACTGACAAAAATTTATCTCAACTATTTAGAGATGATTAGAAAATTTTTAAAATATGATGAATAAGACAAATGCGATACAAATTAAAAGCTTCAAGTTTGATAATAAGCATGAATTGTTTTATTATTTCATAAGTATATTCAAAATTAGCAAGCATAGTATTCAGAGTCATTTTGATCAATTTACATTATATTCATAGGAAGTATTAAGTATTTGGTGAAGGTTACTGAAAATGTAATTTGTGTCAATTGCATATAGTCATAGAAGTATGATGAACGTAATTTGTGTCAACTGAAAAAGTGATAAATTAGTTCAATAGTTTTAATAATATTTAAGAGTTAAACAAACATAATTATGTAGAATAATGATTAGTTGACTCTATAAAATTAAAAGATTGATATATATAATATTGTTTTAAGAAACATAACTTCTCACTCACTACGTTTAACAATCTAGAAAATAAGTCTAGGGGTTAAGTTGAGACTAAAGTACTTTGAACTTCATATTAGTCATAGCTTGGTTGGGATGAATAATGAACGACGGAGTAAAGGACAGATATTCTTTGTAGACTGGGATTCCTAGGCACTAGTTTCCTCACATATCGAAAGCAGATATCTAGGTCTCATGCAGCAGAAACGTTAACCGTTGGAATATGGAATCAGCATCCATCGGTGCACGTTTCCAGAATTTTTACTTTATGATATATCGAAACGATTAAACAGCGTTATTTCTTTGCAAATCTCTAACTTCCTACGGAAAAGATCTATAGATAATAGCACAACAGTGAACATTTGAAGAAGTAAAAAGCATAAACAAATCTAAAGGATTTGATTAGCCATTTTGGAATATGTTCCCCTATCCTGTCTTCCAATCGGCGATCTGTCCTCCCTAAGTAACTTTCTCCGCAGTTACATGTGAATTGGTAAATACAGTGGGATTTGGACTGAATCGGTCTTGGAGACTTGATTGGGGTAACTGAGATCGATCGGGTTGTTGTGATAAGCCTCAGATTAGCTGCATTGAAGGTCTTTTTTATTGCAGCTGCAGTCTGTTTGGTTGTAATTTTCATGCAATGATCACCTTTGAAAGGTAACTGTAGGTACACTGGTTTCTTGGGTACATCAGTCGCTATCAGCTTCGTCATAGTTGTGTTCTGATGACCAATAAACGTTTCAAGATATCCGTTTGATTTAAGTGTGTCAGTAATAAGCTTGAATTCGTCGTTCAATGTATCAGCAGTGCAGATTCTACTTGCTCGAGCGAATGGCCGATTGGGAGATAGGATAGGGGAACATATTCCAAAATCTAAAGGATTCTTTTTTGTTAACAGATCGGACTCAAGATAGTTAAAATTCATAAACCTCGTCCTATCGATTTCATATGCTTAGATAACTAGAAAATTATGTGGCAGTTTTAATACGTTTTACTTGTTGCATTTTGAAAAAATACATTAGACTAGCTGGATTCATGTTGTGATCGGTCAAATCAGTCTGAAGATACATCCCGAGATTCTCCACACACACAAAAACAACACTGGCTTTTGAAATACATACACACCCAAATATGTGTATTTGAAGTAAACTATAGACAGACATACACGAACGCACTTGACCCTTGGGAATCATATGGATTTCAAAACGATAGGGTATAGAATAATTTATCATTTTACTTTAATATTGTGCATTTATATCTACGCATAAATATTATTATATTGTTTATCGGTTCACATGAAAAACATGAGCCGGATTATTGATGATAAAAATCAAGAGGTAAACAAACTAACAAAAGTACTTATCTTAAAAAACAGAACAACAAATAACAAATAATGGGGAGGATGAATTCACTAAGTATATCGCCAAGATCGTTTATAAGGGGAATAGGAGTTGAGATATGTTTAATCCCAAAAATTTCATTTAACCCAACAAGTAATGAGATGTCTTGCTAATTATTCTACGAACAGGGTTCATTTAGGCATCACCAAATACTTAATAATGACTTACTTATGTCCAAAACTGTCAGGTTTAAAAGTTTTACTATGGTTGAAATACTGCTCAATGTATATTCAAACGTTTAACATATAATAAGGTATTTTAAATAACGTGCAATGTATGCCCCTAGCCAGATTAACTACTAGAGCAATCTTAATGCCGACAACTGCAGACTGATCAATTTTACTAGTAATTTATTATCATTAATGCATACATACAATGTAAGTAAAGGACTAACTAATGTAAACTTAATTTTCTGAACATTAGTTTTCATGCTAGCCGATTGAGTGGAAACGACGAGATTGTTATTTTCGCTGGCATTTTAATGAATATAATAAATTTCAATTTTACATCATTAAAATACATGTTGAATATGTCCGCTGGATTGCTTTTTACTGAAATTTTATCGGTGTTTACTTGATATGCAGTATACATACAGTACGATGCCCGGTAAATTCGTTGTCATCTTTACTCATATATATGTCTTTTTACATTAATAGAACAGAGAAATTCACTTTGAATATAATACCAATAAATCTATTTTAAAACATATGTCGTCAAAGTAAACATACTGTGACATGTGAAATCAGTTTAGGGTTGTTAAATTCTTTACGGATAAATTTATTGCTGAACAAATGCAGATTTAATCTGTTTGTTGAATATAACTACATTAATAACTAAACTTACTTTCTCTTACTAAAATAGTTTATGTTCTGTAATTAGCTGTTAACTATCTCTAAACCCATGTCCTATTCCAAATAGATATCCCGCTAAATATATATTGGTCTTAGCAGACAATGCTTATCTCTACCTCGAAAGGAAACTGATTCTTGTAAAAATACTGTAGTCATATCACGTGACTGTTAACTATGGTCAATATATAAAGCGACATAATCATAAAATCTAGAACGCATCTTTGGCCTATTTATGGTCAGCCGTCAATTCCGATAGCCATTTATTAGGTAGCTTATGGTGGAACCGGGATATAACATTTATTTGCGACTGTTGTCATATAACTCACGCCTTAATAATACTAAAGTTCATTTTTGCTGCGCAGTACGAACCCTCCATACAAGTGGTTGGATTAAGCGAGACGTTAAGATACCATCCAGCCGAACAAATGACTATCTCTTGACCACTTAATCGGGGAAAATTTATTTAGGCTGATATATATTGGTAACAGTAACTTGTATACGGCAACGGAAACCGGCTTAAAAATAACGTACGAACTTGTCGCACTCACTCATCAAGTACATAGATCCTAGAAAACCGCAAATGCCACTTCGCGGCTTGGAGATAAATAAATAAGAACCAAAATCAGATACGCAATATATTGCTAAAACAAATGCACATGTCGAAGAATTATTCCAAGCTTAATCACCAAGCAAAGCTAACTTTTGAGACTTTCCCACCATTCCCAGTTCTGAGAGCTTAAGTCCTAACTAATATATATTGATTTCCGGATCTTATAGTCTATTTATTCGGGGAAAACCCTTTGTCAACTAGCTTCGAAAGATTTCAACGAAATTTTTTTGTCGCCGACTCCCAGCTCCTCAAAATGTTTTCATTTGCATTTTAAAACTCAGATCCACGAAGGTTAATATCCAGGCAAGCAGAAGGTAGGAAATAAAATACGTGCTTGCGATGCAGAATGGCATCACGATTAATTCGCCACTCGATATGAGTTAATTATTGCAATCTTTGACATAGCTAGAAACACTACATTAGTTGACTAAGAATTCGAAAAAAAAAGAAAAACAGGTTTATTTCAACGTGTACCGTTATATTTCGACTTTTCGATAAATAAAGGAAATATATCTGAAGTCAAGTAACTACTTTAGACCCACCCTGCAGAAAAATTATTCACTGGCATATAACAAGAGATGACAACCGAGTGAAGAATTATAAACATCTAGTCTACAGAAAACGCGAACTTATAGGTAAAAGGATGAGAATGTATATCTTTTGTTAGGTTGATAAGGGTTAACAAAGTTGAATATGCTAAGCTTTATGTACAAGTTTGAATCAAACAAAAAAATTAACGAGTAGAAAATTGCAATGAACGAGGGAAACAACATGGATAGAAATATCTGTACAAAGAAGTTAAGTAATCACGGACTAATGGCGAGTTGAAGACTGGGGTACTTGTCCATTGTAAAATGATGCATCAAGTCACTAACGTCATAAGCAGGGTCAAAATACGTTTCATCGAGCTTGGATGTAATATCAGAACTTGAATCAAATACCAGGGAGTGTAGATCAACAAGCTCTTCTCCACATGGACCGAAGTCAATATCATCCGCAGCCCAATCGGTGTTATCAAATTCACTAGTAAGACGAAGTGATGTACTATCTAATCTGACACGCTTTTGATGCCGAGAATCAAAAACATTAATATGGTAGGATGGCAGTGGTCTTTCTAAAACAGATGATGAATCTGGAAATAAGTATTGGTTTATTCTGGAGTTGAAAATTGCGTTAGTATTATCACCAAGACAACTGTCCACAGGCTTTGGAGGGTCGGAAAGAACATCACTGTTAGAGCTCACATAAGAAGTTGTTGAGTCCGGAGTTTGAGAAAGGACTGTTTCATTAGAAGGTAGTGGTGTATAAACTGGTGATTTGGATGACAGAGGACTAGGTGATCGACATGAGTTGGATATCTGAGAAACTAGCTGAGGCGGATAGTTGTTCAAACGACTGGGATCATATGTTTGCGACCGACGTTCATTTCTCGGTAGTAAATCTGAGCAGAAATCGCAATCAGGTGAGCAAAGGCGACTTGATAACCCAAGGATCTCAGAGGCCAAAGTATCCCTAGACTTTGTATCATAGTTTTCAACTAAATTGTAGAATAACGTATCGAGCGAGCGACGTATATGTTCACGCAGCTCTATAAGGTACTCCTTAATTCTGAATCTGACAACAGTATGTACGACCGATAAGTTGGCTTTTTTTGTAGTTCGTGCTGTTGAACTCGAATTCCCGCATCCACTTCGGGTTTGCAAATACATATCTCTAACTTGGCTTAGGGGTGGTATGGATAACTGAGCGTCGATGAGAGCAAAAGTTATGGATTCACGAGACCTTCGGATTTGCTCGGCCTGACCATGATTGTGCGACCTGGGATGGGATGTATTTACTTCCCTGAAAGATTGGCTTGCCGGTATTTGGGACTTTGTATCATAGCTATGGGTTGTAGAATCAGATGAGTACCTTGACACGTATGATAATGATGGAGACGATGAATGGTCATGAGAAACGCCCTCGGAATCTGATGAATCTGACCTGTTTGAAGCTGCAGATTGTATCATTTTGTTGGATGGGCTATTTGTATTAGATACACAGTTTCCACCTGGCTTACGATATGGATGGACTTAAGGAAAGGTGTGTTATCATTTTAAAGAACTTACCTCGATTATTATCAGGACGAAACCGCTTCACATGTGACTTACCTTCAAGGCAGTAGACAGGTGCAGTGTTAGTATTAATCTTTCTGTTTGATATATAGTCATAAGATTTTTGTGTGGACGGAGCAGAGAAGTTAAAGGACTGATCTAAGTATTCAGGTCGTAGAACTACGGGAATTAATAAGTCCTAATAAACCTACCTGATCTCGAGTTGATATTCATCATTGTCGACGTAATAACTCAAGTACAAAATATATCCACGATGTATAGGTTCCTCTGACAGCAAAGTAAACTTGTCCCACTTGATAAGTAGCAACTGCCTGTCGGAACACGCTCAAGTTGAGCACGCTACTTTGACTTGAGAGCGTCAGTAATAACAGCCATACGAAATTAAATTGATGTATTTAAACGAACGTACACTGTCCAATAATCATCGATGGGGCTTAAATATAACCAAATATTTTTTAGATATCACAGTATTACTCTGTTATTGTTGCAGGACTTTTTCGTATTTAGCTGGTGGTAATCTAGTCAATCAACTGCTTTAATTCTTGTAAAATGTGGAGGTTTATAAAAGTCTTTTTATCATTTCATCTGGGTAAAATTAAAGATAGAAGGTTGATCGAATCAAGTATGAAAAAATTTAATGAAGAATTCTGAATGCAAACAGGTTGCGATCGTTGTGAGAGCTTAAGAAATAGGTTGTAATACGAGTGATGCAGACGAAGTGAGCGAACAAAACTTCAGGAATGAAAAACGATGTGTGGAGATTATCAGGCGAGATAGGGATATGCTAATAATGTGCTTTACTGAAAACAGTGGGTAAATTATGAGAAATCAATTAGGCACAGCAAGTACGGAAGAGAGATTGTATTCAGTTATTGGGTAAATTTTTGTCAAATATCCGCCCGAAGATATCCCCTCAGATTACTTGAGCTAGTCATGTTCATGACCACTTCTTTCGATACTCTCTGTTACTGCTTGAATATGAACACGTTCGATTAGAAGCTGATCATCTATTATCAGATAATATAATTTGAGGGAACGCCGCGTGGAGACATTCTGCGGATACTAACGTTCCAGTTTCGGATGTGGGACTAAATGTGTGCATTGAGACAGCAACTCCATCCTGGTGAAAACAAACATATGTTTATCTAATATGCCCCTGATTATTCTGTTAATCCTGGCTAATAATGTTCTGTGACGGAATTCCTCGGCCAAATCGGATATGAATCAATCATAAACAACTCGGCAATAAGTAATTACATCTTTCAGCATAAAGTGTATCCTAATAGGTCATATAGTCTTTACAGTGCTTACGTAATCTCTATGGACTGCGTTTAGGGAATTTCTAGAATGACTACCGGTTCAAACCATGGATAAAAGAGAAAGTTTGTCAATCCCGCCCCATAGTAAACAAACTTACTGAGACAACGTCTACAAATATATGAAACATGAGACAACCAAACAATACAACGAAGATGCTAACTAGGGAGTATATTTAACAAGAGTCACCAGTCATCAAAAATCAAAGCAGACCAATCACTGAAGCAGAAGAATAGTTGAACAGATGCTCAAAATAATTCGAAGAAGCACCTTGACTCCTCTTAATCACTGTTAAATCATGAGCTAATGATGAAATCAGCATTTTCTTTAGACATATCAAGAGTGGTAAGGCTTCAGAGCTAGACAACATAATACTCGAAGTATTAAAAGGAGACACAAAACCTAAAGCCAAGAAGCTATTGCGAGAGCTACAGAGGCATCTCTCTATATGCAGTACCGTTAAAAGTCATCAATAGAGTACTGTTGAACAGAATGAGTGATTCACTCGACTCCCAACTTGGAGGTCGGCAGGCCGGATTCCGTAAGGATCGATCTTGTACAGATTACCTCTGAACGATCATCGGAATGAAATTCACCACCCTACATCAACTTATTTGATTATGAGAAATAACTTCATATCGTGGACAGAATCGCACTATGGAGTCTCCTTCGACGACATCCAATGCGCAACTCGGATGCGGATCTGAACAAGCACAAGGGTAAAACCATGACAATCCACAAGGACCTCCTGTAGTAAAGGCCAAACTTCAAAATTTCACGAAGTTTCTGGATCTGAATAGTGTACAAATTACGGAAATCACCCAAATGCGTCACAAGGCTTGCCCTAACTTTGAGGCCCAAGACCAAGAAAAGGATGTTGGCCAAGGTACTAGAGACAGAATCGAAAAGATGTATAGCTACCGAAAACAGCCGGAAAGCACTACTCTGATCAGATTCGGTTAGAGAATGTTGGTGGAAATCTTTTGCTCTACTGTAGGTAACAAGCGCTTGTCAATAAGTTAGTTTGGGGTTTCCTAATTCTATCTTCATATTTTAACCAGTGTGTAGTGGGACACTTCTACGAAGAAAACGCGATTGGTGAAAAATAAACATTTATTATTGTACTCCTTTCGTTTACTTGTACCAAAAACACTTTCTTGCGCGCAACGTGCTTTTCGCGTTGCTGCCATTTTTCATAACGTGCTGCTCTCCATGTAATGCCTACTTCTGGCCTCAGTAAATATTCAGACATGGATTTATTTCTGATTTACGTGACGGGACAGTTCGGAACATTTAGTGGTGATCATAGTCAATCTGCGACTCGGTCACCACTAAAAGCGTAAAAGTATCTTGAGAAAGCAGCTTTCATTGTTTGTATCCTGCCTGCTGATTTTGAAGGGCGGACTGAATTTCCCGGTCTCTTATAATGTGTTCTATTGAGTCCTATCATGCTGCTATAGAAAGCTGACCACCATTGTGGGGCGTGTCCTAAAATCGGGTGTTTATTCTGCACTGCACACACACGTACCGCAACCTTGGGCAGGGATGACTTATAGCGAACATGTAGTGATGCCTAAGTACACCAGTATCACAGCGTTACTAAAACCAGCTACTCCAGAAGTAATAATAATAATCTGGCGAACCTCAGCAAGATAGTCAAACATTTACGTCGTCACTTCTTGTGATAAGCATATCTGGATTTACTTCTCATTGGTTCTAATCCAGCAGTGTTTCGTTGCAAAGCAACCGTCGTCACTAGCACTAACTACCGTATTGTACATTACAGAGTCGGAAACACAGATAATTTTATGTGAATGATTTTAGCCATCACTGAGAAGCCCATGTATCTTGTGAACAAGGTTTTACAAAACGTATGTTAGTAGTTATAGCATTTCCAATTTTAACATACCCAGAAAGAGAAAGAAAGAGAAATTGGCGAGGGAATAGAACAGGAAGCACTAATGTTCAAAGCTGGTACATAACAGATACTTTTCGAACAAAATCTTAAAATGTAATCACTCAAACCGTCCTTTTACGGTATTAGATCATTTACTGCACAACTGCATTTATAAAGGTTACAAAAGAAAAGCTAGTAGTAAAATGATGAATGGGAAAATTGTTTGTTCAAAAGTAATGTTTTGTTAAAATTTATGTAGATTTACGAACTATAACCCAAAGTCACCGGTCTAAGCATTGATGGACGTGCGAAAAATTACCTTAAATTCTTCATCTGCCATCAGTTAGATATGCTAATGGAAATGGAAGACGTATATCACACCTACCACTTCTGATTACTGATTCTACTTGGAGTGGGATTAAGAATAGTAGAGACTCGGTTATGATGAATTAATAGAGTCACTTCTGTTACGCACAATACTCTAAGGTTAACAAGCTAGCGACGTATAAGCATTATTATAACCATATTGTCAGTAGTAAAGATATTTAAATCATTATAAACTCCTGAATTAGGACTACTAGCATGCAACCTTTTAGTTACAATCTGAACACAATATTCCAAAATGCATAATAGGGGACAATTTGAAGAGACATTACAAAAAGTGTAAGTTTCAAGGGAGAAGAACAAATAAGAAGAGACTGAATATTGCTAATAACTTCGACCGTTCTAGCCAGCAATCTCCCGCAACCCCAGCGGCTTCTTCATAGGTTTTCTGCCTGCAGAGGCATGATTGCGTGTATATTGTCCAGGTGACGAGACTAGCAAACAAGCTGCTGATCATGTAATTGATGGGCGAACAGCAGAGTCAGGTCAGAGTCGAGCAGCGCACGGGTAGTCAGTGGCTAAAGACATTTTCTCGATAAATCTAAAAGACAACCAATTCAAGTAGATGAAAATAATGTCATCATCAGGGCTTATCCGTAATGACTGGGAATACCGCCGAAATTCTAAAATTTATAAGCTAAACAACGATCATTTGGTTGAATTATATAGTGAACTTTCGTCCATGCAGATGTATTTGAATTAAAGTGAATGTCAAGTTTTTTTTTCTATATTATATCCAAAGTTCTGATAGCTTTGAAAAACAACTAAAACTTACTGTGTACAAGGGAGATGCCGGGTAATTGGTGATGCGTGAATCACGAGTGGTAGGTTATTAAAAACGTGATTTGCATCTCTGAGACGTTCGGACTCAACAAATGGTATTTCCAACTCAAAAATTTATATTGAGCTAAAGCGTCTTGCTGGAAACAGGATTTTGGATTTCAGATGGTTGAATGCGTCTGCTATAAATAAAAACCTTTTAGCCGATTAACTAAAAGACCTATCCTCAAAACGGCAGCACATACCATGTGTTTGGACGAACTATAAAACTCTATGAAAAGGGTCATTAGCTAGAGTACCTCTACGCTTTAAGTTGATGAGTGCTGCAATACATTTACGAGCAATGGGAATAACTGTTAGCCAACTTTTGGGATTTAACGTTTGGCCACTGGGTGATGATGAGTAAAGAATAACCCCATTACAAATGCCCTAAAATCTTTCCTTACTTCATATTTTCAAGGTGAGCAGTCGGTGGATGTGTTTGTACTTTCTCACATATTTTTTATTGTTGCATGCCTTCTCAGTATCACAGACCACCTTGTTTGCGTCCAAACCGAGATTAAAAACGAATATCGCATTCTGTTTTCAGGAGACTGTCAATGTAGTCGGCGGATTAATATTGTTCATCAAGTTGGAACATAACGGGTTTCACTCTGTTAAGTCTCGAATCCTTCATGTGGCTAAATAAGGTATATTCCACATTGATATGTAGATGACACTTTGAAAGTCAGAATAATTTAATGAAAACCTGGAAAACCAGAAAATTAAACCTCTCGTAACTTTATTTTTAATGAAACAATAAAAACGTTGTCTCAGATCTAAGGATAACAGTTATCCCTTTTTAATATCAGCTATCAATGCTTAAATATAATGAAAAAACTGGGAAAAGGATATGTGAAGTATGAAGGTACTATGGTTCAAAATATCCTCTAAGACAGAAACGAGTTCAGTAGTCTCTTATTTGTCACTCGAGGTTGCTAATAACTAAAAGCG